AAACCCGCAGCTGCCCCAACGGTGCTGTTGCCAACATGTCTCTGGGTGGATCTCGCTCCACTGCCGTCAACGCTGCCGCGGCCAACGCAGTCAGCGCTGGCGTCTTCATGGCCGTCGCTGCCGGTAACGATGGTGCCGATGCTCGCAACTCCTCGCCTGCATCCGAGCCTACTGTCTACACCGTCGGTGCCACCGACAGCTCTGACCGCCTCGCTTCTTTCTCCAACTACGGTTCCGTCGTTGACATCCTTGCTCCTGGTGTCTCCATTCTCTCCACCTGGAACAACGGTGGCACTAACTCCATTTCCGGTACTTCCATGGCTACTCCTCACGTTGCTGGTCTCGCCGCCTACATCCTCGGCTTCGAGGGCAAGAAGACCCCTGCCGCACTCTCCAGCCGCCTCACCGCACTGTCGCTGAAGAACAAGATCTCCGGTGTTCCTTCCGGCACCGTCAACAACCTTGCCTTCAACGGCAACCCCAGCGGTTAAGCATTTGTTCTTCTTGGCGGCGCTTTATCAGCATGTTGCATCGAGTCTTTTTTAGTTTCGCATTGATAGAAGTCGAAGATTCCCTTCCTTCTTTTCTTATGAAGTCATGATCGCGATAGTTGTCTCTTGGCAGTCGATAGCACCAATGGAGATACAATCTATGAAGTTACTCATTCAAAACGCCCCCAGTGCTGTGTCTTCGCACCGATTGCTGATATGTTGCCCCATAACCTCGATCGCTGGTCAACGATGGGGATACAGAATGCCATCTCGTCACTACGGCATTTGGATGCGGAGATCGACATCACGAAAACGGCCTTTGTGATACCGTCACTAATGATCTTGTGGGGGTGGCTTGCGCTAAGCCTCATCAACATGACTATACCAGAAGCCCATGTGTCACGATGGGTCATTCATTGTTTCGGCAGAAATATTGCTGACTCTACCGCGTCGTAGGTGGCTTTGAGAGGCGTCGCCTTGCGCGTTAGCACAACGGTGTTGCGTCCACATGCCCTGCATTGTTTTGCATAGGTGACTGGGCTCATGCAGGGTCTACCGACACATGCGTCTACGCAAACAAAGAAGTACTTTGCTCGGTCCTGCGAAGATCGATCATCTGTGTATACGGAAATCTCTCGGTGTAACGATCAATGAGTCACCGCGATCTTCGACCAAACACTCTTTACTCCTAACAAAGCTACCCAGATTTACATTTCCCCCATCTTTGTCTAGGCTCTGCAACCTCGGACGACTAACAATAGCTCGGTCAAGTACCACGCATCATACACAGCTAGCTGCATGCGATACCAGAGGCTGAAGCCTTCCCCGCATTGTCAAGGCTATATTGGCACAACGTTGATCAGCATGGTTCATCGGAAGATTCAATCTCGCCCCGCAATTCCAATTAGGAGATATTGCGGTTAAGGCTGCAGCTGCCATCTTCCTTCCGCCAGCCGCCTCTGCGCACAGACCAAGGCGAAGTTTGGAACGCTTTCAGTGTTCTCGCGATGAGGTGCGCCACCAACTTCATCACCCAACTACCGCTTCCGCCTCTCCAATCTGCGCGAACCATCTGAAGCAGCGATACGACGCGGAAACCCTTTGAGCTGTCGGCTTATACGCAGGATGAGACGATCGCAGAACAATATTAAGGCTTTCGACCACGTATGACGCGGTTCTTCGCGTTGTGGGCTTACGGCCGTATGAAGCTCGCGTCGCACCGACGCGCTTCAGCGTTTAGACAGCGCCTGCGAACTCCCATACACGAGAGAGAAGACTGCGCGGTGGATATCGCCCAAAAGACCAATAAAGTATGTACGAATATATGGTACTCACTGCACCTTAGGGCATTCAGTAGAACAAAGACTGCAAGCGTTGCTAGTATGCACGCGCGCGCTGTCAACAGCGGACCATGCCGGTAGCTCTCGCACGACGACCGATGCTAGCACCGTACCATAGAACAAGCGCATGAGACACTGTCATCGACATCGATGAACGCTACTGCTCTCACACCTTCGACCGTTCTCCGTTGGACTCCTCCTTCATAGGAATGTTCGGTCCCAAGTCTCGGCCGACTGGGGTACGAGTCTCTCGATGCTGAACATGGCGAGATACACCTCATCGAGCTCGTGCCATGGGCACAGGAGAATACTATGTAGACCAATCGCTCTCAGTCAATCCCTCCGGAAAGCTTTCAGCTCTTGGAGCTAAGTCCGAAGCTCCTCGTTGGACATGGAATACGACTTATAGTTCTCGCGCGGTGCTAGTCAACTGATGCTCTTATCTTATTCTCGAACTGGGCCTCAAGGCCTTCGAATCATGGACCAATTGCTGGCACTTTGAATTGACGCTGTGTGTCAACCGAATTGAGCGCCGCGTAAGATCCTATGCAGTCCAATGCAAGGGTGCTTCCACAGTCAGCTTACTTCGCGTTTCTGGTGTTACACAACACTATCACATGTGCGTTCAACATTTCTGACCACGCCGCAGCTTATGGTCTAGTCTGAATCCGTATTTGTCGTCATACCCACTTCATGGTGGGTCTACCGAGGTCCCCAAGAGCCAGTATCGTACGAACCTTCATCGGCCCATTTCTCTACCAGTATACAAAATCTCCAGCCCACGTCATCTTCTACCAAACATCTTAGGATTATTGCACCAGTACACGCCATGGACTCATTCACCGCAGGCGACATCACCCACCAAAATGGTGAGGTCACGCACTACTACGAAGGAGGCTCTGCAGACGGCACTCCCCTAATCTTCATCCACGGCTGGCCCGACATCGCAGAATCATGGAAACACCAACTCACGCATTTCACTGCCTCATCAAAATACCGTGTCATCGCACCTGACATGCGCGGCTACGGCGACTCAACAGCACCCCAGAAAAAGGAGTCTTACCGCCTTGAAGTCCTCGTTCCCGAGCTCGTTGAGTTCGCCTCAAAGCTAGGCATCAAGAAAGCAGTATGGATCGGTCACGACTGGGGCTGCGGCGTCACCAACGCACTTGCCGCACACTACCCTGAACTCTTCATCGCCATGGCAAACCTCTGCGTCCCCTACCGAAGCGTGGAGCTGGGCCTCGAATACCTCAAGAGCACCATCAACCGCGACCTCTACCCCGAGAGCGAGACTGAGTGGGGAAACTGGGAGTACATGCGGTACTACGAGGTGAAACCCGAGCAAAGCGTCAAAGCGTTCGACGGCCACCTGGATGTCATCACCAAGATCTTGTATGTGAAAGGCGATGACAGTAAGTGGGGCCAGCCCTCACCCACCAGCCGTGTCTTGAGAGACGGAGGTTGGTTTGGTGGTCATCCGGAAAACCTTCCTGACATCCCACTTTCGTACACATCGTTGGATGAGCATCTTTACGAAAGCCTGCTGAAGAGCAAGAAGAAGCATGGGTTCTTCGGTGCGAACGCATACTACTTCAACCACGAAGCAAACGTCGAGTATGCGAAGAGCCAGAAGAACGATGGTGTGTTGGAGTTTCCGTTCCTGTACATTGATGCGAAGTACGATGCTGTGTGCTCGCCTAGCGTGCAACCGAAGTTGGCGGAGAGGATGAAGCGGGATGTGAAGAAATTGACCTATGAGACTATTGAGTCATCGCATTGGGTACAGTTGGAGAAGCCCAAAGAGGTTAATGAGGCGTTGGAGAAGTGGCTCGCTACCTTGTGAGGTACCCGAAGGTGGCAAACATACGATAGGCTGTATGGCTTTCACAATGATCGACCTTGCGCTGGCGTATCAAAGTCACCAGACTTGGTGTGTTGATAGATGTAGCTGGTAGGGAATTGAAGCCCTCAATCAACTCGAAAGATGCTCATTGATGAAATGAATCGCCACATCAGGAAGCACGGCCTTCGACTATCTTAATGAACCGTGTACTGTAAGGCGACATACCTTGCGCGACCATGTTCCCGACAATATGGTTTAGCCAACACAGTCGCGCACCTGCCAGTACTTTTGACTAGAGACTGCAGAATCTCGCCAGACATCATGCGCAAACCCGCGATCCCGCCAAGGGATGACTGTCCACAAAGCCGATGGGCTGTTGGCGCGGACACGCTCTGTCAGTCGTACCAATACTCTCTTTGACAATCGCTGTATGCGCACGCACCCAATGTGTCCCTACACCCCACGACCCGTTAGCAGACCCATCGACATTTCCCAGTGCATCGGCAACCCAAACGGTATCTATGGTGCTCTTGATAAGAGTGCTTATTCTATACCAGTCGTCGATGTCCCACGACAAGGCGCTGAAAGTTAGCGCCCACCGGGTACAACGACAACATCATGTAGGAACCCGCATCATAACAGACCACATAGCACAGCGCTTCGCTAGAGGTAACACGACATTTAATCGGTTCTTTGTCCAAGCCCATTGGGTCTCAGACAACTTCCTTCCCGCGGTCACGGTCCGTTAGTGCTGGATCTGGACTGGACCCTACCCTCTGTTTATCTGGACGCCATATACCTCTCCAGGTGACTATGTACCATCCGCGGGATACACCAAAGCTCTGCTAGACCTATTGTGTGATCTACACGACCAGAGCTCTACACGAGTGAGCATCCGGCCCGTCGAAATAACGCCAGACGAGTAAGATCAGAGAACCGTGAAGCGTGCACCCATGCCGTCGACCCATGGACCAGCAGCATGCGCGCTGTCAGATAACGGTATCTTTTGTGCTCTTGTTGGTGTTGCAAAGTAGCATGCGCTCGCCAGACAGCATGCCCTAACGTGGTTCGTGAGAGGTCGCACTGCCTGTGCGTACGCGCGAGCGCTGTTGCTGACTGGTCCTTCAGACTGCGCCATTGGTTCTCGAATGAGCCGGCCGTCGTTGATGCTGGTACGGGTTGTACGGCATTTGTATTTAAGTTTCGGTTCTGCCGCTGATGCAGGTACAATTCAACGTGAAGGATCCGACTCCTCACCTTTTCTTTGAAACCCAACCCCCTATTCATCCCTTCCAGCATATTCGATTCGAACGGCTCGGAAACATGTATACTCCAGTTCTCTTCGCCCTGATCTCGTTGGTCTTTGCTGCCCCGTTGACCAGAGTCGACGGCGAAGATGGCATCGCTGGCAGATGGATTGTCAAGATGAAGGGCGACGTAGCAACGCAAGCTCACGACGACCTGATGGCATCCATGTCTACCAAACCCGATCACGAATACGCAATGCCTGGATTCCGAGGATTTGCCGGCAGCATCTCCGAGGAAGAACTTGTTCGACTTCAGGCTTCTGAGCATGTAAGCTATACGCCCGAATTAACATACCTGAACTAACGTACTCAGGTTGAGTACATCGAACAAAACGCCAAGGTCCATAGCAACGAGATCGTGCAACAGTTGAACTCTACGTGGGGGTTGGCTCGTATCTCTCATGCCGAGCCGTATCAAACAAGTTATCTTTTCGATTCCAGCGCTGGGGAAGGTACATGCGCGTATGTTACCAACCGTATTTGCGCCTGTGTGAACTTCGCTCACAAAGCGACCGCAGATACGTCATTGACACAGGCATCGAGGTTGACCATCCAGAATTTGGAGGGCGTATGTACGAACCGTTCGGCCTGAGAGATACGCGCTAACAAATTGAAAGGGGCTTTGTTCTTAGCTGACTTCAGCGGTGAGGACACCATGATCGACGCCATGGGCCACGGAACTCACGTGGCTGGTACAATCGGCTCGATGACTTGGGGCGTGGCAAAGAAGACAACGCTGCTCGCTATCCGTGTACTGGACTCGTACGGTTCTGGTACAACCGAGGGCGTACTTGCGGGCATGGAGTATGTTATTACCGATGCAGCAAAACGTAGTGAGGCTGGAGAATGTCCCAACGGTTTCGTGGCCAACATGAGTCTTGGAGGGCGCAAGACGCAGGCCTTGAATGATGCTGTGAGTAACCCATTCCGTCTTTTATCAGACATTCAGCTCACAACGATCTAGGCCGCTGCCATCGTTGCAGCGGGAATCTTCCTTGGTGTCGCAGCGGGCAATGAGGGACGCGACGCTAAATACTCGTCTCCGGCATCTGAACCTAGTGTCTGCACCGTGGGTGCTACGGCCATTAACGATACGCTCATTGAATGGTCCAACTATGGCCCTATAGTTGACATTTTGGCACCCGGCGTTGAGATCACCAGTACTTGGATCGGCAGAACGATCGATACGATTTCTGGAACTGTAAGTACACTCCCAGATAAGTGTCGGTGTGACGCGCGCTGACTATCCGCCCTCGCGTTCAGAGCATGGCCACCCCTCATATCGTTGGCTTGGCCGCGTACTTCATGGGTCAAGGATGGCCAGTGGAAGGGCTGTGCGAAAGTATGGCTAGCGTCGCGACCAAGGGCAAGATCGATGAAAGCACTCTCCATGAAACCACACCGAATCTTCTAGCCTTCAACATGGCCGAAGCATCTCAGCAGTACGGCAGACGCACAAAGCGGGTCGCGTAGAATCGTTAGAGTGCATTATCGACTGGAAATGTCGGGCATGAGGATTCGGTACTATAGTTTTGACAAAGGGGAAACCCTGGGAAGCAATGTCGAAAAGTTGATAAGATTGACCTTGTTCATTAGCGCATGCTCATAGATCGTGCGGATCGAGCCGTGCGCGACAGCACCGGTCATTGAGGCGGGAAGATGCATGAAACCTCACCTGCCGTGCCGTCTCACGTCAAGTATGTCAGCCTCATCGGTGGTCAGATCCCACCTATGGCGATCCAGATTCTCCAGTGGAAGCCTCCGATCTCAACGGTTGTCGCAACTGATGCGCCATGCATGGAGCCCTAGATCTTAAACTCAAAGCGGTGATGTCGCCCAAGCCTGCCACGCCGATCGTCACTGCACTAGTCAGCTGAATCAGCGCGCCCGGCCACTCACGAGGCGTGACATCATAAAATGCGGGGTAGAGACTTGCGATATTAGGCTAGCTTGTCTGCGAGCCCGACACTTTGCAGAACCTCCAAGCCTTCCAAGAGCACTGCCCTCACCTGAGCTCCCTTCTATCCCGCTCCATATCTGGCCCATTGGCATCCTCGGACCTCAAACACGCATCATCTTTACTGGGGAGAAAGGTCCATTCTAGAAGTCATGGCGTCATACTTCGACCTCCAGCCGCAGAAGGCGCCGCCGGCTACGAATATAGATCAGATGCCGCAGGACCAGCGCAAGCAACTGGGTCGCATGAACAGTTTGATGTCCCCAGCAGTCACACAGATATTGGAAGGTTTAGGCGACGACGAATCGGACAGTGATAGCAGCGAAGAAAAAGACCCATCCGAAGAAGAAGATCAACGTGCCGCTCAACAACATACTAAGCCAGCACTCGACCCCCATATATTGCGCCAAGACAAGCAAAAGCACGTCGCTGCCCAGGCGCCTCGCCCTTCATCTTTATCACCAAGCAGAAGTTCCCTGAAGACGACCAGCAAAAGCTCTGGCCATTCTAAGCCGTCTTCGGCGCATGGCAGCGGAGATAAGTCCGCAAAGTCCAGACAAAAACAGCCGCACATGGCGCGATTCCATTCCCTGCGCAGCATGATTTTTCAACAGAGGATTCAAGACCAGATGAAGACTGCCGCGCAAGAAGATTGCCAGAAGGAGCAAAATGCGGCAGACAAATGGCGGTCTCAACACGCCGAACGCCAGATGCATCCCCCGGGAACACCCGATCAGGACGCCTCAGGAAAAGGTGGAATTGGAAGTAGGATCCGGATGACAGTAAGACGGATGACGACCAAGGAAGCAGGGAATATGGAGAAGATCAGGGAGGATGGTGCGCCAGTCGAGTTCAATGATCGCGCATCCACAGCTTCTTCCGACAACGAGAAGGACCAACGAGAAGCATCCACGGCTCGCTATGAAAGTGACAACGAGAGTATCGATCATTCCGATGTGGACGAATTGGTACGATGGGTTAGCCGACGAGATCCCCCTAGCGACGGTGAACGACGGAAGGGCGGCGACGTAGTGGAAGCGAAAGAAGACAGTGGTCATGAGAGCCTGGGGCCATCAGACGTTGAAGACCTTGTTCGCTTTGCCAGCAGGAAATCTGACGCCAAAGAGACCGCCGTATTGAACGACGCACACTCAGGATACAGCGACGCATCCACCGAATCCGACAGCGAACTCAGAGAAGTATCCTCAGACGAGGAAGAAGACGCAGACGACCTCGTACGCTGGATATCGCACCGCGACGGACCCAAAGCAGGCCCCGTACGCCGCAACCTCCAACGACCCGAACTAGATTCCGACGTAGGCGAGCACTACGATTCCGACGTCCCCGAACTAGGCCGCTGGTTCAAGCGCCACGACGGCACGAGCGGCGAATCCGCAGCTTCCACGCCAGTCAAAGAAACCTTTGACGAAATCGACGAGGAAGAACAGCGAGGCCGCTCCCGAAGCCGCGAGTCCATCGAGCCCATCAAAGAAAAACGCCACATCACCGACGACGACGTCGACGAGCTCGTCCGCTGGGTCAGCAGAAAAGACTCCAAACAACAAGATTCCCCGGGACCCGTTTCTGAAAACCCAATCGAACGTCTGAAGCGCGAAGAGGAAGAGAAACAAGCGCAAATCGGCATGAGTGTTGATGACGGCAGTCTCTCACACGCCGATCTGCAAGAAGTTGTAGAACATGCAAGGAAAACAAGCGCTGATATGGTTAGTCCGCCGCCTGCATCCCCGTTTGCGGTCGAGACGGGCGACTTGCGGGTGCTGAGGGATGAGAAGACCAAGGCGACACCTCTGGAGCGCGATTCGCAGCGTGATTTAGATGGAAAGAGGGAGAATCTTGATGAGAAGAAACAGGAGCTGGGTATGAGTCTTGATGATGAGAGTTTAAGTCATAACGACGTGGCGGAGTTGATTGAGCATGTTAGGAAGATTTAAGAGACAGTGATCGTGGTCTGCAATCAGCGCGAAGGGATCTAGGAACCAGTGGTTGAATATGGAGACGACCATTCCGACGAACAGCCCTGGCAAACCACAGTCATCGACTTACCAACCCACCAACGTACACACCCAAAGTTCCTCGCGAAAAGACTTCAAATTCGAGCGCGAGCCCACAAGATCTAGGAACCAGTATTTATGTTACGAAGGATGCGCGGAAGAGCGGAAGCTACGGATGTCGATGTGGGTGTGTGGGTCAATCACGGGTATCTGGGAAGATCTATTTCTGTTAGTCTGGGGTTTAGCAGGTCGTTTTATACCAATTGAAGATTCCATTTTAAAACATATCACATATATGAAGCCGAGGTTGAACATGCAAAAGATATGGTATTCATACAACATCAAACTGAAAAAGAAAGAAGAAACCATATCGCAAATGCAACTCCCAAACCCCTTCAAATGCAAGACAACCACATCTCAACCTCAACCCCTCAATCCAACTTCAGCGCCTCCACACCTTCAAACTGCAACCTCCTAAACATGCCCCTAATAACCCCACACTTCCTCTCCCTCTCATCATCCCTGCCCCTCATCTCCGTACGCATCTTGCCATACATATTCTGGCCATCACCCCTCTGCCCGCCCTCCTTAATATTCGTAAAGAACATGCGCCTGCCCGTACTGTCCAACGGCTCCCACTTAGCAATCTTAACACCCTCCCTTGGAATAACATCATGTTCGCGGTTCGGATCAAGAAACTTAACAAAACTGATAAAGTAGTCCGAAATCTCGTTTTGGCGACGCACCATGACTTGCCCAACGGTGCCGGCGTGCTTGGTGCCGTAGCCGTTTTCTATGTCGGGGCCCCACATTACGTCCCATTGGTATTGGTAGGTGGGCACGGAGGGCGGGTTGTGCAGGGACATGGCGTTGGAGGCGAGGTAGGTAGGGCAGATGTAGCGGATATCGCCTTGGGCTTTTGCGACGGCGTCCCACCATGCGCCGCTGTCGGGCCAGTGGCGGTCGTTGGGGTAGGTTGTTACGAGGGTGGAGAGGTCTTCGTCGGTGAGGAGGGGGTAGTGGTCTTTGAGGTAGGATTTGAATTCGCCTTCGTTGTCGGTGGTCTTCTTGACTTGGTCGGAGCCTTCGTTCGAGGTGAAGCCGATGATGGTGGGGACCTTGGCGTAGCGGTCGGCCATTATGGCTGCTGGGGCGGGCGCTGTGAACATGCCGCCGGCGGGCTCGGTGGTGGGCGCCCACATCCAGCGTGGGGGTGTGTCGCGACCGGGGAAGTTCATGGGGTAGTTCTCGTAGTAGAGGTCGCCTGTTGCTGCGTTGCGCACGCATGCGATGTCTGTGCAGTTCAGTCCATCTGCGACTTCGTTGTAGAACTTCTCGGCTTGGTCGGGGGTGAAGAACGTCGGACTCGCGGGGGACTGGGCGATGGCGCCGTGGAAGAGCTGCTTGCGACCAACGCCTGGAACAGGGTGGTAGTTGTCGCCTTCGTTGGCCGTCAGTTGCAGCATCACGGACGCGCCGCCAGCGCTCGTGCCCATGATGACCACGTGGTCTGGGTTGCCTCCAAAGTACCTGATATACTTCTGGACCCATTCCAGCGCCGCTCTCTGGTCGCGAAGCGCATTGTTGTAGTCGCCGTCCTTTGCGATCTCTTTGCCAGAGAGGAAGCCGTAGATACCGTTGCGGTAGTACATGGTGACTACAACGATGCCCTTGTCGAGTTTGCCGTCCACGCCCTTTTCACGTCGCGCCTTCTCTACCATCTCGCCTCCGTTGCTGCGTCCTGGAAGATGGAAGCCACCACCGGGGATGTTGACCAAAACGGGTAGGTCGTCGCCTGCCTCAGCGTCAATCGGCGTGAAGACGTTCAAGCTCAGACAATCCTCGGTGGAACGGGTCTTGATACCCAGAACGTCCGGTCCTGAGATATCTTCCCTGTTTCGCTGGGTTGGATCAATCTTCTGGATCCTTGGGCACATGCCCAGTGATCCATCCCATACCAGAGGCTTCTCGCCTCGACCAACGCCATATGTCCTGTTCACCGGTTGTGGTCCGCGAAACCTGTTCTGGCCTCCTGCATCTGCGGCATACGGTATGTTCCAGTAGAACCTAACCTTGTCCGAGACGTTTGGCTTGATGGCTAGGTAGTCCAGCTCGACGATGTAGGGGTCTTCGGTGTTCTTGAGCGGCGCGGAGAAGGTGGAGGTAGGTTTCGAGCTGAGAGGTGGTAGCCATTCCGAGCTGGGACGTAGGTCGGGCGAGTAGAGGAAGGCGAATGTGAAGGCGAGGACAACGGCAGCCGTGAGAGCGAGTATGACGCGCCTGTCGAAGATGAGGCTCGAATTGAGCGGGCGGATTGCCATGATGGGCACGTATTGAAGGTTGCAAAAGAATGTAGATCGCGTGCGAAGCGCTGAAGGATTACTGTGATGCCGTCGGAGTATGCATCTGCGTCTCGTACACGAAACTCAGGAAAGGAAAGACTGGTCACGGAGACAAAGAAAGTGTCCTTCGGCGCTGTCGCAAGCCTTCCAAGCATCCATGGC